TTGTCGTATCAGATTATGAGCAATGTTGATAACAAATTTATTATTATAATATATCTTTATTTTCCCTTCCAATCTGATTTTTAAATCTTCAAAAATGATTTTTATCCAACGAAGCTTGTAGATTCTTTAGGCAATGACTTTAAATTCAGATTTGACACTATTTCTTAAAACAATAGATTATTTTTTTGTCCTCCATCTTATGAGGTTTCCTTCCAAAAAATATACAATATCTTGTATAAAATTCAGATTTGTCCTGCTTTTTTTTATAAAGATTTATTAGGATTTAATTTAAGATATCTAAGATTTCTATAAGCAACTTCTGAAGTTGCGATACTTTGGGATTGTGCATGAATCGATTGATGAGACTCACGACAAATGTGATGTTTGGATGGGTGTGAGCTAGATATATCATTTTTCCAACTAATATTTGATATTTTCCCATATCTACTTCATTTACTTACTCATTGACATCCAATTTTTTATTTGATTCAATTGGAGTTTCATAAGATTTGCAATCGATCATTTTTGTTTTTTTAGTAGATTCAAAACATACGTATGTTCAGAGAGATTTTTTTTTTTTTATGATTGAACAACTTTTATTACAAAAAAGTATTTGAGTTTGTCCAACTTTTTTTATCTCAATTTCTTTAGCAAGCTTTTTATTGAGAGGTTCGTTTTTTCTATTTTTATCATCAGTGTAAATTACATCATCAAGATATATGATAATAATTGAGATTTTATTAATGAGTATTTTATGAAAAAGGTATGTTCTTCTTTACTTTGTTTGTATCTAGCTTCAATCATGAATTTTTTGAATTTGTCAACCCATGCTATGACTTTCATGAATATGTTATGCCATGCTCCCAGAGATTGTTTAAGGTCAAATAGAGCCTTTTGTAATTTGCACAAATTGTTCTTTGGGAAAGAACTATTACATCCAGGCGGTAGATTCATATAGAATTATGTTTCAACATCCGTATGTAGGAAAGCATTCTTTATATCATAGTACGACATAGACCAACCTCGATTGGTTGTAAGAGAATTTAAGATGCTTATTGCATTCTTTTTTTAGTAATAGGAGCAAAAGTTAATAATCAAATTTATATGATTGAGTATATCCTTTGTCTATCAATCTCGCTTTATATCATTTCAGGCTTCCATCTTTTCTATTTTTTATTGAAGAAAATCAAATATGGTTTTTCTTCTTTTTTGGTAGTTAAACGATCTTCCAAATGTAATTTTTTTCGGAGCTTTCATCTTTTCTTTTGTCGCATCCTTCCATTTTTTTTTCAAGTGCCTTAAATAGAGTTTGTGGTATTGGAATAGAATTAGAGTTGATATTTATAAGAAAAGCTTTATAGGTAGGAGAAAAAAAAAAGTGTACTGGAAGATGGGATTAGAGGAGATTATAGTGATCATTATTACTTGATAACGATTCTGAGTTTTGAACTTTCTAAAGATTTTAGTTGAGTTTATTTCTTTTTGTATAAACTTGAAGGGATATAATGCCTGATTTTTTTGGAGTTTGTGTTGTAGGAATGTCACGATGAAAGATAGAAGTTTTATCAAACTTATCTTCCGGTTGATAATTTTACTCCTAAAGATGAGTTTAATTGAAAAAATTTTGCTTCTCATTAAAAAGTTTACATCTTCTGATGAATTTTTTGATGGTAGGATAATAACACTTTAAGTGGTGGAAAACTCTATAAATACATTTGAGGGTTCTAGGATAAAATTTACCTGTGTTGTTTGTGAATATTGATATAGACAATGCTCCCAAAGATTTTTAGAAGAATTTTTGAGAGGTAGTTATTTGTAGGAAAAAATTCAAGTAGGTAGTTTATAGAACTTTTGAGCCAATCATTCTTGAGGTTATCCTATTGATTAGGCATATGGAAGTTAGGTTGTTTCTCTCAAGTATCTTTTTGACTCTTGATTCAAGAAAAAGTTTTTAGTGATTTCCAAAAAAGACTTTCTATTGGGGACAATAATGCAATCTAAAATCCTCACGAGTATCAAAGTACTCACGAGTATCATCAGTTTGAAATACCTTGACGTTAGCATTGAATTATTTTTGTATAATGTAAGTAAAAATGGGGAGAATAATGCAGAAATTAGATTTTTATTTGATACAATATTCTCATGTCATATGAATGCAATCATCAATGAAGGTGGCAAATCTTGTAGCTTAAAAAATATTAGAGATTTTGGAAGGTCTCCAAATATCACATTGAACAATTAGAAGAGTAGTAGAGGATATATAGTCACTTTAGGAAAAAATTGTTGGGAATGAGGAGTAAAACACCACAACGACGAAACAAGCAAGGAAGTAAAAGTAGCGGAAAGTAAATGTCACCTGGATGTAACGTGGAAAAACCCAGAATAGGGAAAAAATCACGGAGCCACACCGCATCAAGAAATCCACTATGAAAATTGAGAGAAATAAGTATAGATCTCTCTTCTTTCTCAGTCTCTCCTTGCTTATCTTCTCACATGCACTGTTCTCTATGTTTTCACACACTCAAAATATAAGAGAAAGTCAAGTAAATAATCCCAAGGGACTCAACCCTTCAGAAAAATGAGAAAGAAATCCGTCTAGTCTGCTCACAGCGCTGTGAGGTCAGTTTGGAGCGCTGCAGCGCTTGAACCTCTGTCTTGATCCGTTGCAGTGTCGTATCTATACCCTGCGATGCTCTGCTCTCTGTCATTCAGCCATGGGGCGCTCAGGTACCCAACTCCGGGGCATTGTACGAAAAAAAATCCGTGTACGAAGCACCTGACCCAAGCAGGAGATAAACCTTTCACACCCCCAACAAGAGTGACAAACTTGAGGTTTCGAGGCAACAAAATAACCCGATTGATCAACACAATCAGATTCCACAAACAATAAAAATAACTCGATGTTCGGTAATTTCATAAGTCTCGTAATGAAAAATTTTTATCTTTAAATTAAAAAAAAGAAGAAGCATACATTGAAAAATGGATTCCATAACCTATAATGATGTTTGCATATCGCTTTTGTATTGAGTCTGGTTATGAAGGAAACATGACAGGTGATTTCCGTCTCCAAGAAGTTATTGTCCATCATTTTTTTTAGCTTGCCCAATTATCTTCCCCATAGTGAGGTCGTGGAATACATAATGATTAGTGAAAAATATTACATTGGAGTTATGATTTTTAGTTATTTTATGGATTGATAGAAGATTTACCGCAAATTTAGGAACATGCAGTGCATTACTAAGGCTAAATGTAGAGGAAATTGAAATATTTCTTGGCATTTGTTGAAGAATCATTGGCCATTTTTATATTTCTATTATTTGGCAGAGTTTAAAGGTTAAAAAAAAGGCTGACAAGATTGGTCATGTAGTTAACGGCGCTTAAATCTGAGATCCACATGTGAGGAAAATTATTTAAGGCACTGAAAACATAAGAGTTACAAATCATATCATTTTGAACTAGAAAGTATGATCCCGATGATTTTGAGAGTTAAGTTCCTGAGTTTGTTTTTTTTTTTTTCAATTAATCCCTTTTAATTTCACAAGACAAGCTTTCCATTTTGGTGGATTTTTTTTTTTAATTTCCACAATAGCCTAGGAGTTTTTCCTGGAGTTTTCAACAAATTTCTTTGACCGTGTCATTTTTTTTTTTGCAATATTTGCATCATAGTTTCCCTTTGGAAGAAGGCCTTTGTCCTTCTTTATATAAAGAATCTATAGTAGTTAATTCGTTGCCTTGGATTCGATAATTGTCATGACAAATATTTCGGAGATCGAAGTGTCGAGCATTATCGATTGTCTTCCATCTTTAGCTCGTATGAGAGAAAAAAAATCTCATTTAGTGATGGTAGATTTTTTCGGCTTATGATTTGAACATGAGCTTGGTCAAAGTTATTATTTGAGTATTGCAAGAAACTCAAATACACCTCTTTCTATAAATTACTTGAGAATTACTGCATTATTGTAGCATGTTATCTTGAAATTTTAGTAATAATCCAATTCAAGACAATAAACCTTTTTTTGCATTAATGTGCTCAATGATAGGAATTTGGCCATGTTTGGCTATTGAAATTTTAGTTTTGATCTTGTAGATGAGGTTAACATTCTTCACTTTTGAGTACATTTGTTTAACGGTGTCTCAAACTTTCATTTATAGTAGAGAGGAACATATATGGCCCACTAATTTCAGGCATCATGGTATTCCATAGCGATGTCATGATCATGACATCTGCTTTATCCCAAACTACACACTTTGGGTTTTTCGGCTCCAAAGGAGGATCCACAAGGTGATGGATAATCCGTTCTTTTCCGAAAGGTTTTTATGATTTATGACAATTTTAAATAGTTTTTCTTGTTCAAGTGATATGAGGCTTGTAGGCCTTGGAGTTCTCTCTTAGTATGATTTCCATAATTCATGATAGTTGGGTCATTTAAAGGGAAATTTAAAAAATCATACATAATGAATAGAAGGAAGAATCCCAATACAAAAGAAAGAGAATAAAGGCTGGAAAAAAACCCTAAACTCTTTCTAATATCATATAAAAAAGTAGAAAAGGAAAAAAATCTTGATTTTGTGAAAGTGCGAAAGCATATATAGATTTCTCCAAATGTCTCACGATGAAAATAAATTAAGGCTATTTACAAAAAAGGAAAAAAAATCCCAAAAGAGGTCGATGGCTAGAAGAGGAAGAGGCACATGGATTTTAATCTAAGTGTCATAAGAGGATCGATCAAATGGCTGAAACTCTTTATCTGTGTGCTTATGGATTCCTATCAAGATTGGTTGACTTCTAGATCCCATGATCATTTAACACTTTATTTTGTACATAACACAATTACCAAATAAAGCCTTTGTTTGCATATTGTTTAGAAAAAAAAGAAAAAAAAAAAGAAAATGCCCTTTTTTCTGCACTGAAGTAGTATCAATACCAAAGTTCACTTATTCTGGTTTGACGCTGCTATTTCATTTTTTATTTAAGCAATGTGATATTAAACTTCATGCAGGCCTGATCACAACCTAGAAGATATCAGAACAAAGATTTTCCCCTATAAAAGGAGAAAGGTTAACGCTCCAGAAGCTTTACCTTTGATGACATTGCCTATTAGAAGAAAGGAAAGATCACTATCTTCATTAGTGGTTGATACTCCTCGAATAGGAACTCAAACAGGATTGCTAGGAAGAAGAACAAAAGCAGCAGCAAGAAAGGCTTCCACATTACAAGGATTAAGTCCTTTAACTGATGAACATGCCAAGAAAGATGCTGATAATAGTGAGCATCTTACAGATAACTCCAGCAAAATGTCTCATTGTAGAAGACAGGTAAGTTAGAAAGGCATATATAACTTTACAGTATATCAAGCTATTTATCAATTATAAGACCAATGTCTGCTAACTTTACAGAATTCTTCAAATGGGGTAACATCTAACCATACACCTAGTAATGATAGCCGGAATAGCAGGGAAATTTTTGTTGATAAATCCAGCCTGCAAACTCAAGTTACTATTAAGACTGAGAAAACAGTTGGGTTTGCCGATGATGGCTACGAACATAAAGTGAAGGTTCGGTCACATCCAAGCAAACCTAAATTTCAAGATGCCAAGAATAGCAACGCTTCAGCATGTTCAGTGGCAGTCAAAGCTAGAAGAATGCATGGTGTTATTCGGAAAAGGAAAGTTCTTAGGCCTTCAGCTCAAGCAGTGCTTGATGCTGCTGATGTGGGATCTGAAAGGCGGATCAGTCCAATTTGGCTTTCTTTAGTTTCCTTACATGAAGGGTTAGAAATTATTCCTTTCACTTGAAGCATCAATAAACTTATGTAAATGGTATTTTTTTAAAAATTAATTTGATTTGTTTTGGCATAAACTTACAACAGGGAAGGAGATACAACGTTGCCTCAAATATCTGCATCTTACTTAAGAATCAGGTGAGTTATGCATATCCCAGACATTTAAATTCTTCAGATTTTAATTTATGCAGTTTGATACTCTACTTCTATTGACATATACATATATACACACACACACACACACATATGCCCGCACGCACATAATGCAAAATTATCTATGCCTATTAGGGGTGTAAACGAGTCGAGTCGAGCTCGAGTCATACCTAACTTGAGCTCGACTTGTCAGCCAAATCGTGAGCTCGAACTCGAGTCGAGCTTGAAGGATGAGCTCGAATTTGGCTCGTGGAAATAAAAATGAGCTCGCAAGTAGCTCGTGAGACCATGGAAAAGCCAGCTCACCTGATACTACCTGAATGGAAGAAAGTATGCCGCCGAAGAAGAATGTGTTGTCGTCGCTCACGTTTGGCCGGTGAACTCCCGGCTATTGTGTGAGAAGAAGATGGTTATTTTTTAATTTATTTTTTTGAAATCGGTGAAATATATGATTTTTTTTTTTTTTACTTTTTTGAAAAAAGTTTCAGCCTCACTAATGCATAACCTCTTTTTCCTTGAAAATATAAACTATCTTCAAATGGTAGCAGTACTTTTTTGAGAATAGGCTAATAGCTAGTTGATTTTCTTAATGGCAGTCAGATGAAGATTTAATTGGGGTAAAAATTTTATTTGCAAATTTGTTTAAAAAAAATGATTATTTATATAATTATGAGTCAGCTTGCGAGCTTCCAAGCTGAGCCTCATCAGGCTCGAACTCGAGCTCGCAGCTCGATAAGTTCGGCTTGCCAGCTCGTAATTGAGTCTAGCTCGAGCCGGCTCACGAGTTGGCTCGGCTCACTTACACCCCTAATGCATATTATTTTCATGAAACCTTTTGCCTCACATCTGCATCTTGCCTCTAGTTTTTGACTCTTTTTTCATTTTTTATAGAATTAAAAAAAATAAAAAACATCAACATAAATCCAAAGAAAAACCATCATATAACATCTCAGAAAAAAAAGTCTTGAATTCGGAAATTCCAAGCATCAAGAACATGACAGGCCCAAGGAAATCTTTTATCAAATTTACTGAAACAAAAGAAGAAAATGTTATTGAAGAAGATTATGGAAGATTAGAGATGAAAAAGGCAAATGAAAGAGGCAGCAACAAAATAATATATCTGCAAAAAGGAAATTAATGCAATGTAATGTAACTGGATTTTTTTTCTTAAAAAAGATTTACCTTTTTAATTATGATGGATTAAACGCTTAAATCTGCAACAATGAAACTATCAGGGGATACTGTTTTCTACAGTTCCACTGATTAAAAAAAAGAAGAAGATATTTTCTCGGGTGAAATAAATCTGGACGAAATGTTGGTTCAAAAGGGTCTTGTAAAATTGATAAGGGACATTGATTACTGAATTAGCTTCTTGATAGGAAATACTTAAGTTCGCAAGTAACCCTAAGGTAATACTTGAGTTCGCAAGCAACCCTAGTCAAAATCAGCCCAAAACAGTGAGCAAAACTGCTGTCCCAGCAGTTTTACAGCAGCTCCGCAGCAGGAAATGCACCCAAACAGAGAAAAATAAGGAAAAGAAACAAGGTTTCCACTAGTAGATGCAAGAAAACAAAGAAAGATACAACGTCCTTCGATTCGAGAGGAAGAACAACTCTCCACAAGTCTCTAGCAAACCCTAGAGCCCAAGCACACAATGAGATCTCAAACTTTTCATTCAAATTCAAGATGAGGACCTAATTCCCCCCTTTCCCCCTCTTTAACTCTCATCCCCATACAAAATCCCTAAACAGCCCTTCTATTCAAATTTCCCCCCCTTTCCATTCAAATTTTCTCCCCTACCCTTGAATTAACTCCATGTGGGGCCCGCCTAGAGTAAGGACCGGAGGGGCCCGCCTAACAAATTGCTATTTAGTTATTTGTATTTTTAAAATCTTCAATTTGCCTTTTTCATTTTCTTCTTCTTCCAATCTTTTAGCCAAGGTAGCTAAAATATTTAATTTGACTTAATTGCTATTTAGTTAGAGGCTTTGTGACTGGCAGCACCGACACATCTCTTTGGACTGTTTACAACAGTGGCAGAAGGCATTATTGTGGGAATATTCTCCCTGATGGTGTGTCTAAGTTGCAAATCTTCTCTTTATGTTATGCTTAGGCTACATAAGTAAATCTATTACCTCTTATGCATTTCAGGTATGAAGAAAAATCAGAAGTTGCCTGCGAATATTCTCACACCTACAACCAAAGAAACAAATCATGATGTTCCGGTGTCTCCTGATGAGGTTTGTTGTGTTGACTGAAGCTTAATAAGTTGCAAGTTAAATAAGGATAAATTAGACCTCCGTCCTTGAGTACAGGGGGATTTCAAATTGGTATGCATTTTTTAGATTGTTTCACTTTGCTCTTTTTTTTTTGTCTTGCAAAGTGGTACCTTAAGTAAATCTATAGTCTTTACAAATATCCTTTCTAAGTTGAGAAAAAATATAATGTATCCTTTAACATCATTTCATGATGGTTAATGTGAAACATCTACAGTTACTTTTTGATCAAAGTTTTTATTTTGCTTTGTGTGCTTGTGTGTATAAGGGAGAGAGAGAGCGTGAACCCTTCTTTTTTTGTTGAGGGAGAGAAAGAAAATAGGGTGTATTTTTGGCATTCAAACTCAATTAATTATGCAGGTAAGGATATTAAAGTAAGAGAGGGATATTTGTGACACTTGAGAGTTTTTTAGCACTGTAATTAAGGGTCTTAATGAAGTAGACTTCTGTCAGCTAATTTTTTTGTCATTTCACCCTTAATAAAGTATATAGTTAATGATAGGACATTCTAAAAGAGCTTTGCATTTGCGGGCCATGTAATTGAAAAGATTTAATAAACATGAAATTATGTGAAGTATAAAGGTCATTTGTACCTCAGAGAGTGGACAAGTTAATCTTTAGTTGATATTCCTAAATTTTTTCATTAATTTTTCCTTCCATAGCAAGTTTCTTTGTACACGCATAAATTTTTTTTTTTAATCCGACAAGTGTTCACCATTTTGACACATATCGGACACTTTCATGTGTCAACGTACAACATGTGTTAGACATTGTATGCTAGTTTAACTCGGAGTGTTGGTGCATCCTAGGTTGAAACAAACTGACTTTAAGAGAAACTACTTGATACTTCCTTTTGTAATCATGAATATGGGTTACTCAATTAAGGGAAACCAACATAATCTTGCAGCTAAATTAGGATATTGCTATAGGCATAAGGTTGTGTTGGTAGTGCTTATTTCATGCTTTGTTTTTCGTAATGATATCCCCAATATCTAGGCATAGGAATCTTTGTGTAATGATAAGCCTGCGGAATGCGGGTTGGAGGGTTGTTTTTGTTAGAAGTACAGTAAGTTGCTTTGAGTTCAATTGATTATGTAATTTGATCTAAGATTTTGGCTGCATCACTTTGATCTTTTGAGATATACTCGATAACAATTTTGACACAAAAACCTGACACTGATCCTAGTGAGTTTTTTCTTTTTATTGTTATTGTTGGTTTGGCAAGATTGTTGCTGAGTTATCTTGAAATGTTTGCTAGTATATGGATTGTAGAAATACTTCCAAAGTACTGATATATAAAAAAGTATGAAATTATGTATATGTTTTTGCCTAAAACTCACGACCACCCCCACCACAATCATCATCCTCCTCCTCTATGACCTAATTCCATTTTTGCTGTTTCGGCTTAATGTATCCTTGGTGTCCTTTTATTTTAAATGCAGTCGTATTTTAACTCTATTTTCTGAAAATCCGGGCTTTGTATTTTGCCTTTTAAGTCTCTGAAGATGCCATGCCCAGTTGCATCAATTGATGTGTTACAGTTATGTTGCTTTAGGGTACCATAAGGCATAGCCAAAGTGGTGGATATGTTTATAGAAATAAATTTCGCTATGCTATTGGTTTTATTTTAATTTGAGTTCCTTTTAATATTCCTTGAATCATAAGCTTTGTGAAACTTGTTTCTTTTGTTTTCTTGGTTGTTTGCCAGATTTCTAATATGATGATTTTTTGTACTTAGATAGTAAAAATGGGTTTGATGACAGAGGATGAATATCTCGAAGTGAGCAGCAAAGCTATGAGATTATTTGAATATGGACAGGTGGGAGTTTTTCTTTTTTCGACATTCTTTTGATTATTTTCTTATTATACTTTCTGTGAAGTTGTCAATCTTCATTTGGTTTCTTAGATAACCAACATGTACGTAAAGTAGTATTTTGTTGCCAAGTACCTACAACCTTTGGTTATAAAGTGCTTTGGGATATTTGCTTTTGAGTTTTATATGCAACCTGACTTAGGCTTTGTTTGGGATGGCTTTCTTACTGTTTTTGAAAGCAATTTTCTAGTACAAAAATTTATTTTTTACTAGAAAGCTGCTTTAAGAAGCAGTAAGAAAGCCGTCCCAAACGAAGCCTTAATAAGCCATGGTGATCAGCCTTCCAACAGTCAGGGTGCCTTATGTTGCATCATAGGATTTCTGTTCCCGTTATTGCTTGCACGTGTTAATTGTGCAATCTATTTGTTTCTGTTGGTTTTATCCATTAGCCTTTTGTACATCAATCTTAATTAGACAAATGTTTTGCAATAATTTGGCTCATTTATCTTCTTTTTTTGTTGATGTACGTTCACTTTCATACTTCAGATCATAAAATACCTGTCATGTTTATTTATGTAATATTTCTTAATATTTCAGCAAGTTGCTCTCGATCATGGTCTTCTATTAGTGGACACGAAGTATGAGTTCGGGAAGGACTCTGATGGGAATATTTTGTTAATTGATGAGGTTTGGCTTCCTACTGCACCTATGAGAATCCTTGTGTATTTCATTTGCATGTGTTTTTATGGTAATTGTTTTCATATGTATGTGATATGGGTTGTTACACTACAGATTTAAAAGAAATCCCGATATGTAGGGGATAGGAGCTTACAATTATATATAGATTTACATGTTCCAAATTTCATAATATCTAAGTTTGCGGTGATATTGCATAA